GGACAGTATGCTTGGAAATAATATTTCATGTCTTCCATTGCATTCGTTATTTGTAGTGTGCCAGCCACCCAATAGTAATAAGCTTTGTGCTTTTGGTAGGCCTACTTTTAATATAAGTCTCAGCTTTCAAAATCAGTTTTATAGCGAAACACAAATTATGTGTCTTACAATAATGTGTTTTCAAGCGCTTTAATGATCAGATCGCTGTATTTATGTGAACCAATTCATTTAAATATACTGTTTTCTTTGTGAAAATTCCAAAATTCCAAATTTGTGAAAATTCCACCACCTACTCCGCAAAAAAACGTCTGTGGCGTCCAAACTTGTATTCCTCACATGTAGCCTATTTAATTAATAAAAATTCTAAAAGTTGAAGTGGGCTCCAACTCGTTAACATAAGTTATATTGTTTTCTTTTCTGAGGTAGCCTGTAGGCTATAACATGTAAGTGACTATTCACAAGCTGTTTTATTCATGGTATAATACAGTAAATGGTTGGACATAATATTTAACGTCTTCCATTCATTATTTGTAACACGCCAGCCACACAGTAATCACAATAATTTTGTGCTTTGTTGCTTTTAATATAACACAGCTCAGCTTTCTAATTCTGTCAGTTTTATCACGAAATACAAATTATAAATGTGTTTTTCCTCTTTATTTCAAGTTTATAGCAAGATATAAAAGTGAAGGAACATCAGAAGGCATGAAAAAAACAGCATAGCTTAATTTATAATGAAAATAATGTCTCATTATTGTAATCGAAAAGACTCACATGCCGCTTAAACTGAAGTGAATACAGCGATCTGTCACACCACATTAAAGAGCGTGGGGAAAAAAAACACATTATTGTAATATATTGTTTGTATTTTGCTATAAAACTGACAGATTTTGAAAGCTGAGACTTTGGAATATCTCCCGGTGCTCCCAATCCGGTCCATTTGCATGTGCAAAAAGCTAGAATATATTCTCAAAATATTATAACTTTAATCTTAATTCTCGAAACATTTCGACTTCATTCTCGAAACATTTCGACTTCATTCTCGTAATCTTAGAGATTAATGAATTAATCTTTTTTTAACGTGGCACTACACTCTAAAAACTGCTGGGTTGTCCCTTTTTAACCCAGTGCTGGGTTATATTTAACCCAGCATTTTTTAGAGCGTAAAACGCCGTCGTAGAATTCTATAGCTGTGACTGCAAAAAATCCATTGCAACAATAAGGTAGACAGCTAATGATTCTTCACATAAGACTTTAATATATTTTCACTATCTATGAATTGGTAAGAGTTTAACACCGTGTGATTCTGTATCTTCAAAGATAAATGTTCCATTTTAAAACTCCCGCAGGTATTCATTAAAATAGTATAATTGCTGCAGCCTTAGACTTGAGTTGTTTGTAGTAGCCTACTTTGCTTCTCTGATTTGCTGCATTCATTTCAAAACATTCATTTATTTGTTGCCCTATTATCAGAGAAAGCTTGAACACAAACATCTGTCAGGAGCTCTCACAAGCACTATACCTGGGTCGCTGCTGACCAAATGCCAATCAAAATACTCTCTTGAATTTTCATGAGGACGGGGAGATGGGGATCTCTTTTTTTTCTGGTCAATAATGGTGGAAATGTTCAATACCCCTTTTGTAGCCAAAACTTTATGGTATGTGTCTATACAGATATTGACTTCCAAAAATATACCCACATTGAGAAATATTCACTGGAGTACAAAGTATGACAACAATATTAAAACTGTTATATTTTGTTCTGTCCTCTTTTAAAACCTGTTCAGAACAGTCTGAACTTTTGTGAGAGCAAAAATGCACCAGTCTCTGTTCAATATGGAGAAACTTTCTCAGAGAAAGACAAGTTGAATGCCAAATATATTTATTAAAGAAATCCAAAATGATAGTCTTTGCATGGCAGAATTTTATTATCATCAAAGCTAACAAAAATGGAGTTTCATCTATGAAATCATTACAGTCAGGAACGCCATGCTGAGAGAGTATGGTGCTATCATTGAGGCTAAAATCACTTAAATCACCTTTAAAAGAATAACCCCAAAATGGAAATTTTCTGAAAGCCCTCAGGCCATTCAAGATAAGTTTCTTTCATTGGAGCAGATTTGGAGAAATTCAGCATTACATCCCTTGCTCATCAATGGATCCTCTGTAGTGAATGGGTGCCATCAGAGTGAGAGTCCAAACATCTGATAAAAACATCACAATAATCCACAAGTAATCCAGTCCATCAGTTATTGTCTTGTGAAGTGAAAAGCTGTCTCATTAAGACGTTTTGTAACTTAAAACCATTGGTTCCAGCTAAAATAGTGACTTTTTCCCCCCTCTCTACAGTATATGTTGTCTTATTGGAAAGCACTTTGGCCAACCTAAGTTGTTTTTAAATGTGCTATACAAATAAACATTCCATAATCCATCATTTTGCTTTCTACAGTGAAAAAGTCGTCTCGTCTGAATCAAGAGAGAAATATGCACAGATACAGTTCAAAACCTTTCTGAAGAAATTTGTTGATGGATTTTGATGTGAGAGGACAACAAGGGATGGACTTTTTCACTGGAGGAAGCTTTATTATGGATTGTGGATTTGTATTTTGGCCAGAAACAACTGTTAAAATGCCTTAATGATGGATTTGTTTCTTACAAATACACAACTTTCTATTTCACAAGACATTAATTGATGGACTGGACTCATGTTTGGACTCTCATTCTGACGGCACCCTTTCACTGCAGAGGATACATTGGTGAGCAAGTGATGGAATGTTACATTTCTTCAAATCTGTTCTGATGAAGAAACAAACTAATCTGCTTCTTGGATGGCCTGAGGGTGAGTACATTGTTAGCAAATGTTCATTTTTGGGTGAACTTTCCCTTTAATGTTGACTGTGTTGTATCTGAGTTCTCAGAGCGGTGCAGATCGCTGTGTATCATATCTGTGTTCTCCTCATAAAGGCGTGTATGAGTCTGGTGATGGGCACAGCTACAGGTACAACAACACTGATACAGTCACACTAAAGATCATTAGAATTAATATGTTTCATTTGCTTCTGTTTATTGTGTTATGAATTTTTGATTTGACTTCTGATTCTTTTTTTTTTTTTTTAAATGCTTGCGTGACCAATTAGTTTTGTGTTTTGGTTCAATGAGGCAAACTAAACATACAACTACAATTAAAATTTGCAGGACTTTTCCTGAAATGGAGTATCTGGAGACCCCAGCTGGACAGGAAGTGCTTTGATGACCAGGCATTCTGGGAGTTGAAGGGTTTTGTTCATTTGCATCACTCTAAATATGTTGTCTACAATGACTTAACACCACTCCTTAACCTTGCAGTGTTTGCATTTATCTTTTATAATTTAAAAGTAGAATTAATGACATTAAACCTAATTACATTTACAAACATGTCTATGATTGCTAATTATGTATTTGTTTCTCTTGTAGTTTCCAAATTTGGTTGTACAGAAATTAAGAACTTATGGACAAATTTATAAGAGGACTCCAGATATGCATGAATGCAGTTAGCACAAAATATATCTGTGTGTGTGTGTGTGTTTGAGAGGTTAGACATTGCAAAGTAAACAATTTACAAGATAAGATGTCCTTGAATGGAAAGCATTGTGCTTTCTAATCATACAAAACACCACCAAAGAAATTTCCAAGCCCCTGGAAGTTAAGGCTGGATTAAATTACTTTAGTGGAAGCAAGACAAATGGAAGAGTTTGTTTCAGGCTGACAATGACAAACTGATACACCACACCACCACCTAATGCAATATATAAAAATAACCTTCTGGTGCACAGTGCACTGACTATAATCCACAAACCCATGTTATTCATCTGCATTTGAATATAGTAAAAGATTGCACTTTCTAAAAGAAAAAAAAAAAAAACACTGGTTCTGTACATATTCACAATAGTTTTATTCATTTAAACCCACAGTTGGAAGAAGTTCAGCTACTTTTTGTCAGAAAGAGAGACATGGATTACATTAAAATGTTACATTCTTTTAGCATGTAGAAATCAGAGAATCTCTCATTTGTTAGTTGACAGACTCACGTCTCACCTTATTCACCCATTGAAATAATAAGAAATTGTGCTTTTTAAAAACATTTAACATTTTTATACAACTCCCACATGCCCAAACATACACAGAGAGTGAACTTAAAGCTCCAGAACACAAAATATATAACCAGGCTTCCCACAGTCAAGAAAACCTGAGAAATATGCTGTTTGGTTTTACTAGTTGCACAGAAATTCAAAATATTGACAGTGAATACACGTTTCTACTTATGCTCGGCTCTAAAAAAAACTGCTTTTGCTCAGTGCAGTTCGTGTAAAATATTTTTTTTTAATTAAAAAAACTGAATGACTGGGAAAAAAAGTGTGGGAACCCAAATAACAATATATCAAAATCTTCCAAAAGTAAGACGTAGAATAAAGCGCTGACTGAAGGTTGTGGCGCAATTATACAGCAGTGTGTTCTGAAATCTAAACACTGCGCAAAATTTCAAGAGATTATGAATGAAAGTGTTCTGAAAGAACAAATTCGGTGGCCTATGTAAAAAAAAAAGAAAAGACTTTTATTGAAATGACAACATTGAATGTAGAAACACAGTGAAGCTGAAGGACTGAAAGCCAGTCATACTCATTTTGGTTATTAAAGATTTCAACAAACAAAAACAAACATTTCAATAATGCTTTTCTGAAGGCTGAAGATATTGGTTGTGCACTTCCAATCTGAAAGTCACTATTATGCAATCTTGTCATTGTAATTCCATTGTATACAAGTCATTTTTATTATACACACAGGATGAGGTCTAAATGTGTCCATTTTGACTGCAGAGTCTGGATTTGATTCGCATTTCTCTCGCTGTGGGCGCCCACTGTGGCCACACAGGAAACAAGACAAAGAAAGGAAGAAGGAACATATTTAAAAACTGAAGTCAGCCGAGGAGTTGGAAAAGAAATGAGAAAGAAATGTAGAGTGCAAATAAGCAGCAATAAGTACAGAGGAATTGTGTGTTGATGGACTGTGGGATTTGATTGAAGGAAATGGATCTTTACTGCCAGAGGTCCTCAGTTCGGCCAAACTTGAACACCAGACCACTGCAAGAGAGAAGGAGAATCAAAATTAGAACTCTATCAAAATATCATAGTTTCACTTATATATAAAATATATATATAAAATCAGAATTTGCTAAGCAATTTATTATAAATAAATACTCAAAATCTCAGACCACAAATAAAACTCAATCTCAGACCACTAATGCAGGTAATTACAGACTGAGCAATAATTATTTATTCATGATACATTCAAAATTATTTTAATTCCCATTATTGGGACTTTTAATAAACTATAACTATTTTAATGATTATTCATTTAGCATCAATAGCAAAAATTGTATTTTTCATTCTCCATTAATTTCAATATGAATTAGTTAAAATTCCCTATTTCCAAGATTAATACAAAAACTTTTATTCAGCAAGGATGCATTCAATTTATTAAAAGTGACAGAAAAGACATTTATGTTACAAAAAATATTTCAAATAAATTCTGTTCTTTTTTCAACTTTAGACAAAGAACCGTGAAAAAAAAAACGTATTACGGTTTTAACAAAAATATTAAGCAGTAACTGTTCTCAACACTGATAATCAGAAATGTCTCTCGAGATTTCTGAAGGATCATGTGACACTGAAGACTGGAGTAATGATGATGAACATTCAGCTTTGCATCACAGGAATAAACTACTTTTTACAATATATTAAATTTTAAAACAGTTCTTTTAAATAGTAATAATATTTCCCAATATTACTGTTTTTACTGTATTTCCAAACTTACCCAAAGAAGATGAATGCATTTTGGAAGAAAACTGCAATACCAGGATACACGGACAGATCCTTTTTGTCTGTTCATCCATAATAAAAAAACATAATGAGCAAATGTATACTGATAGAAACATGAATGATCTTTTTCTATAAAAGGCTAAATCAGTCTTATTCTCTCACCAGTCACAACAAAACCACCGAACAGAATCCACATAGAGGCGATGAGAGACCCGAACGCCAACATGAACCCGATGAAGAGCCAAACTCTGGCACCTACACAAAAACACACATTAAAAGCACATTTAATGCTGTCTCTTGAAAGAAAGAAAAAAACGCCTGCAGCACGTACCTGTCTGTCCCAAGCAGCCATCGCTGTAGCTGTCGCCCCTCACCTGGCCATTTGACACCGCATTGATCCTGCATTCAAATCAGTCTTATTTTAGTATCACTGAGATTTTATTGTACACTGTAACCCTTAATGTTCAATATAATTAAATGGTTTGAGTAGGGCGAACTTCAATTAAACACATTAGTTCAATCCAATTAACTTTTATGAGTATTTAGAACTTTCTTTTTTATTCAAGTTCATGAAACGGACACATTTTAAGTAATCTGAATACTTGTTTCATTGTTGAGTTTAATGAGCTTGTTTCTTTAAATTTAGACAAACTTAATTTCAACTTAAACTGGCTGGGTTTTCTATTTTCCAGTATGCTTTGGCACTTGAAAGGGACTTAAATGCTCTTAAAAAAAAGTTAAGTGTTATATAATGTTTTTGTGCAAGGTTAATGTTAACTGGGAGATTTGGTATTGTTTAATGTTTTGCTATGCTAATTTAGAAGAGTTTCTGTTATGTTGGGTTTCTCATTGTGATGAGTAGAGCATGAGCTTTGATTTCAGAACAGAATTATGTTAAATGTTCTATATTGCCTTACTCATTCAGCAATTACTATGCTTATCAAAGCAGTTACCAATTAGCATTTACTGAATTAGCTAGCTATAGCAAGCTAAGTTTCCAATACTAAAAATATTTAAATTGAGATTACATGATCATTTTAACTCTTTCACCGCCAGCGTTTTTGAAAAAAGTTGCCAGACACTGCCAGCATTTTTGATGATTTTCACTAAAATTTCATGGCCCCCAAAATATTTTGTTGTATGAATATCTGAACATGCAATACACCAAAATAAAGATCAGAGCCTCTACTTAAAAAGCTTCAAGCTTTCTTTTTTATGAACACTTCAATGTAGGTAAGTTTTATTTTTAAAAAAGCAACATTTTGAGCAAAAAGCTGAGAAAATCACATTTTTATCAAATACTTCATCTGGATCATATTCAGTTTGATGATCAAGGCACTGTAGATGCAGTAGATCACTTCCAGTTCTATATTGCCTTACTCATTCAGCAATTACTATGCTTATCAAAGCAGTTACCAATTAGCATTTACTGAATTAGCTAGCTATAGCAAGCTAAGTTTCCAATACTAAAAATATTTAAATTGAGATTACATGATCATTTTAACTCTTTCACCGCCAGCGTTTTTGAAAAAAGTTGCCAGACACTGCCAGCATTTTTGATGATTTTCACTAAAATTTCATGGCCCCCAAAATATTTTGTTGTATGAATATCTGAACATGCAATACACCAAAATAAAGATCAGAGCCTCTACTTAAAAAGCTTCAAGCTTTCTTTTTTATGAACACTTCAATGTAGGTAAGTTTTATTTTTAAAAAAGCAACATTTTGAGCAAAAAGCTGAGAATATCACATTTTTATCAAATACTTCATCTGGATCATATTCAGTTCGATGATCAAGGCACTGTAGATGCAGTAGATCACTTCCATCAACACCCCCAAAGCTTCACAGTCCTTTGCCACTTCCGGGATCGACATTTCACTCTGTAACATTAGGCAGTTTTCATTTATATGCTGTCTATTGTTGATGATCGCATTGTATTTCATATGCATATGCATACATACGAGATTGCTCGTTTCTGCATTTTCCTAGCAGGTGTTTTTGATCGGCACATTCTACTCATTCAGGAGATGCGTAATAGCGCCCCCGAGCGTATAAGAGCGAGAACGCTGAAACCCGGAAAATTCTGTGTTTGGCGGGGAAAGAGTTAAGTTAAATGTATGAGTTAGCTTACTCAAATATTTCAAGTTAGGAGCACTTAACATTTATGGGCACAAAAATAAAAATCTGCCAGTTCTGCTTACTTAAATTTTGAATTTATTAACTTAAAAATGTTTTAAAGGGGTCATATGATGATGTCAATATGTTGACATGCTTTAATGTTCAAAAAACACATTATTTTTCAAATACTGTACATTATTGTAGGTCCTCTATGCCCCGCCTCTCTCAAACGCGTCGTTTTCAACAAAGCCCCCTCCTTTGCCAAGCGTAGTCTGCTCTGATTGGCCAGCTGACCCAGTGCATTGTCTTAACTTTTATAAAGAATATCTCTTTGGATTTGAGACTTTAGTCTTTGCAACTTTACAGATCTTCTTTATCTTGTAACACTTGTAACACTCCAAAGAGAAAGGAAAAATTGAAATCGCATCATATGACCCCTTTAATGTAAATTAAATAAAGAAATTACATTTAAAAAATTTTTTTTTTTTAAAAGTTTTGACAACTTATTCAGCTTTACAGTGTAGTCTTTTTTTACATTTTAAATTTGTTTTTAGTTTTAAATTCTCCGTTTTTATTTTTTAGTAAATTTTTTTGCAATTTTGTTGTGCTTTTGTCATTTTGATGACAAAAACATTTGACAGTTTTTATTAACATTTAATTTCAATTTTTGTTATATTACTACATCAAATTAAACTAAATGAAAATTATAAATGTTTCCTTGGCAACTAGCTGATATACTTTACTTATTTCTTTATTTTTTTATATTTTGTTTCAGTTATGGTTTAGTTTTACTTAACTATAATAACCCTGATTCAAATCCACAAATAGTGAAACTCCACGGGCGGTTTAACAATGGTGTCATTGTGACAGCACTAACTGCACAACCCTGTAGTTAAATCAGTGTAGTCTTTTTTTACATTTTAAATTTGTTTTTAGTTTTAAATTCTCCGTTTTTATTTTTTAGTAAATTTTTTTGCAATTTTGTTGTGCTTTTGTCATTTTGATGACAAAAACATTTGACAGTTTTTATTAACATTTAATTTCAATTTTTGTTATATTACTACATCAAATTAAACTAAATGAAAATTATAAATGTTTCCTTGGCAACTAGCTGATATACTTTACTTATTTCTTTATTTTTTTATATTTTGTTTCAGTTATGGTTTAGTTTTACTTAACTATAATAACTCTGATTCAAATCCACAAATAGTGAAACTCCACGGGCGGTTTAACAATGGTGTCATTGTGACAGCACTCACTGCACAACCCTGTAGTTAAATCAGTGCTTAACAACAGGAAGTAAGATCTGGGACGGATCAAATTATGTGTGTCTGGCCGGACTCAATAGGAACAAAGTCTTTGTTCTCCTCATTTGAGGAAGCGCCAGTGGGAACGGAGAATCTCTACAGGTGTAACTCACATGAGGAAGGCTATAGTCGCTATAACCCCACAGGTATGAAATGCGTGGTGGAACTGTTCCTCTTTAGGGTACATTATTGCCGCATCGATGATGATCCACCAGCCTGTGAAAAACTGCACGTGTGTACAGTGTGAGAAGAAAGATCATTAGTTCAGAAATCACTGGATATTTTAGAGAACACAAGATTTATTGACGTACCAGAACTCCAGCTGCGATGGAGGCGAGGGTGTTTCTCTTCTCACCCCAGTCCACATTACACTCACAATCGCCACATCTGATCCCGTCCAGAAACCCTGACATGCTTCTGATCTGACCCGATCCTTCAGAGAAATATATGCTTCTTTTGAGACGTTCTGCTGGTTTTCCTAATAAAGAGACGTATTCATATTGCATAATGAACAGGACTACTTAGCTTATGCTTTTTATCTAAAGTGAACAGCTTTAGATAAGAGCTTTAGCAAAGTTTTTTAATAGAAATTAATACTTTTATTCAACAAGGATGTGTTAAATTGATCAAAGGTGACAGTGAATACGTTTATAACGTTACAAAAGATTTATATCTCAAGTAAATGCTGTTCTTTTGAACTTTGTATTCATCAAAGAAACCAGAAAAAAATTAATTTAAACAAAAATATTTAGTGGGGGGAAAAAAAAGCATTGATAATTAGAACAAATTAATTGATAATAAGAAACAAGTTAATAATTGAGCACCAAATCAACATACTGGAATTATTTCTAAAAGATCAAGCAAGTCACTCTGAAGACTTAAATAATGGCTGCTGAAAATGCATATATAAATATATATAACATATGAGGAAAAATTAGTTCACAAATTATTTGAGCAGCAATCATGTACACAAACAGTAACTGTTACTGCGCAAGAACGGCGCAGCATCACTGCGCACACGAAGAGCACACATGATCATCCTGAACCAAACACTAATAACAAACAAAAGGATTTCCATCTGTCATTTTTGCGACCAACATCTGAATATTAACATAAGAGATCTTTAACATAACAGTTCAAAACTACGTTTCCGCTGAATATCGGGCGAAAACGTCGAGCTTTAATGCTGTAAACATATTTGATCTCTCATGTCCGGCTGATTTCTAACCCAAATTTGCTACATCACTGTTTCTATAACGCATGGCGGGTAAATAAAAGCACAATAACGGAGAATATCTAATGAATGATCACTGGGACTCGTACTTTATAGCACAGTGATGTGTTACCTGCACTTTTCTTGAGTTTTTCTCGTGGTTCGCAGTAAGTGGAGAAACACTCCGCAGTCTTCCGCCTCAAACAGTGGCTGAGTCGCGCATGCGCAGTGCGCTCTGCATCAGTCGCCATTCGCCGAGTACACCTATCAACCAAAATGTGCACTCACTAAAGGTTAAGCACATAGATAAATTAACAGCACGTCTGATAAAAGTACGGGATAAGAGAAATTCTAGATTGAATAAGTTTAGGAAAAAGCCATTTTATAATAAATGGAACGAGTCGCCCTCATGGACGCCTTTGTTGGCATCACGTGATCAGCTGTATGGTAAAATTACTATTTACAAAGGTGGTTTACACAGCAAAAACATAAAAGTACATCTAAACACGGCATGCAAACCAAAAATATAACAGTAGAAAAATGTTATAATAAAAAAAATATAACGTGAAATGTCTCAATCTTGCACACAGGCACAAATATCTTGCAATGTCTTGTTGTATGAGACAAAGTGAAAAGAACATAAAAGCGTCTGTATAGGCTACTGTATTTTGTAATAACTATAATTAAACCATTTTCAAACCTGGAAAAACTGAGCTCCTAAAACTGCTAAGGTCTTTAAAAAAAGACTATAAAGACTCCTAAGCTTTTCAAACTAGTAAATGCTTTATACTTGTTTCTTGGTGCTTGCATTACTATTGTTCATACATTGTGTGTTGATAAAAACCCCTAAATATTAAACCTGGCCACATAGCTTGTACCGCACTGCTTGATTAATACTTTTCTATTCTATCAGACTTTCTCAGATGTTTATGTAAAACAAATAATCTCCCAAAATTGTGATTTTCACTTAAAGGGATATTCACCCAAAAATGAAAATTTTGTCATCATTTACTCAGTTACTGGTAGCCATTGACTTCCATAGTATTTTTTTTTTCTTCCATACTATGGAAGTCAATGGCTACCAGGCTACCCACATTATTAAAAAATATATATATTTTGTGTTCAACAGAAGAAAGAAATTGATACAGGTTTGGAACAACAGGAGGGTGGGTAAATGATGGCAGAATTTTCATTTTTGGGTCCAGTCTAACTATCCCTCAATAAAGAGCCATATGGAAAGATTAGAAATTTCAGTGCTAAAGAATTTCAGTGTAACCAACCACAACACCATAGCATCACAGTAACACCCTAGGGTCTGTTTATAAATGATTTAACGCTCCAGTTGTCCTAAAGCCCTGCCATATGTCATTTTACATATTATATGAGAGATCAGAATCACGTAATTAATGTAACTTTCACATATACAAGACCTTTAAACTTTGTAATCTCCTTTAAAAGGCATTCAGAAATGACTATGAGTATAATGTATGCAGGATCCCTGCATTTTCTTAGTTTGAAGCACTCAAGCACTAACACATGGTTTGTTTGAATCGTAAACAGACATTTTATTAATCATTTGTCTGAATTTAACGAAATAACATAGGGTGACCATACATCCTAATCAAACCAGCACAGTATCTGATATGTTGCCCACATCACTATTTTGCACCTGAAATGCTCTGTACAGAAGGTGGTCCACAAACAGAAACCACACAAGCTGAACTCAAACCAAGGTCGCATGAACATAAACACTACCATGCAATGATGAAATATTTAATACTATGTAAAAGCTACAGGATGGAGCAATGTAATAAAAAAAAAAAGAGAGTAAAAAAGGGAAGTTCTGAAGTCTACATTAAGTGCCACGTTTTGGTTTTATGTGGTATTTTCCCTTAAAGCACTCCAAGCAGTTTAAGAGCAACAGAGATGGAAAGCAGAATGACTCCAAACAGCCCGATGTATCCGTATGCACCTCGCATCCTTTTAGCAGGATCTAAAACAGAGAAACAACACTGGTGATGAAGGCTAAAACTCAGATGAATGTTTGAAAGAACAACCTAAACACATTGAAAATGCATTGTTTTGTATGTGCATTTTAAAGACTTACCACCACTGTAGTAACCCCAGGCATAAGAGAACCTGCTTGTAACCCAGATGACTCCTAACACAGAGGCAGCAATCTGATATGGGAGATAAAAAATGCCAGATAAACAAAGGTGAACTGGGTGAAAGGGTGTACTGTACATATGAGAGAAGGAGGGCACATAAAAAGAGAATTATAATTCATTACATGTATATAGCGCTTTTCTAGGCATTCAAAGCACTTTACATTGTCAGGGGGTATCTCCTCATCCACCACCAGAATGAATTAACATTTTTAACAGAGATTTACAGAACACTCATTACAAGGACTTTCCTCTGCTAAACCCATGATTAAGATCAACTGTTTTGATCAAAGGCACAATGATTTTATTTAATATTAACCGTTGTAAGGTTTGAACAAACAACATTACTGCCACAAGCCCAACACTTTAATGTGATAAATGCTTTTGTCATGTTTCTAAATATATTAGAAATGTCTAGTGGCCACTAAATATGATGGAAGATGGTACAAATTAGGGTACGGCAATGCACAGGTATATAAGGAAGGGTTAGGCAGAATTTAAGAACTGGCTCCATTTCAATTCATAAGCTGGATTTGCCTACCTTCACATTAAAATGGATTTTGAAATGGAACAGCAGGAAGAAGAATGTGCTGAATTGCAATTAAAATAAATTGAATAAACACACAAACATAAATCTTTCTACAAAACATGATTTATTTAGACCAAATCTTGACAGAATGCCGACCACAATGTTTGAAACGATATCCAAATTGTGGGTATTCCACGGCATTCTAGATTCCACTTGCAGCAGTTGCATGAGTGTCTTTGAATTATTGCACACAACTGTGATACTCACAGGATACTCTAATGCAGCAATAGTCTGGAACACCAGCCACTGTGGATACACCTCCAGTGTGTTCTGATGAGCTCTCTGAATGCAGTTGAACACTTGCTCCTTATCACTGTACATGGTGGGATACTATACACAAAACAAGAGAGCAAATACATTAAACCAATAAATCATGCATTGGTTGCAAACAAGAAATCAAAGTTTACTATGCATCAGTATCATTTCAGGCACAACATGCACTGCATGTGAAGCCTTATCATACCTTTACTCCAAACTTCTTCCGTGCACCACCAACTTGGACCCCGAGATACATCAACATCACAAAACTATACAAATACGTAAAAATTGCATAGCCAAAGTTGGCTGGAAGCAGGCTTTCGACCGCCATTTTTAGATGTAATGTTCAGGATTCGTTTTCTGTATCAAGCACGAGCCGTTCTTCTTGTATTTGAAGGGTGGAAATGCTGAATCATGCAGCTCACGCACGGTGAGTTATTTGTGTTAAAGGCGAGTTCACACACAGGAGACCCGGATAAAACCTCGCGATAAAACGCGAGAGACTGTTTGACAGTACTTCGAGGGGGATTATTAGTGTTAAACAATTGAATAAAGCTATTTATTTATTTGAATAACTTTGTCCTGGCGTCCTCTACAAAAGACATAGAATAAAATATTAATAAAATATATGTATTTCAAAAATGTTTTTTTTTTTTGTTTCTTATGCTCCAACCAGTGTAATGATGACAAAATAATAATAATAATAATTCACAAAACATTTTTATGGTTCTCAGGAGTATATAACTAAATTAAACAATATGTAAATGTGAAGTAAATATACGACAGTATTTCCAGTTATTAACTTAGTCAAGTCTTCAGCATGTAGATGTCGATTTATATTGTTTTTTTTATTATTATTAAAATAACGTAAAAATATAAACATAAAGTTAACATAAACACGGCTAAAATATAGTGATTTAAAAATAAAAAATCATGTCTATCAAACCATAAATATGTAGCCCTACATATAATACGGTTACGTTGATGAAGTTTCTAGAACCCCCACCCCCCCCCCCCCCCCCCCCCCCCCCTCCACTCCACTCCACTCTACTCTACTCTACTCTACTCTACTCTACTCTACTCTACAGCGCTGCGTCTCGATAGAGGAAAGAGTCGATGCTGGATTCCATAAAGCTCCAGAAGAGTCGACTCACCAAGAGAGCTGTCAACTCCTCTAAGGGAGATTTTTGATCTTTTAGATGGGATCCTAAAATTTAAAAGGCATGTGTATAGTTTATTGTACAAAAAATATGACTAAAAACAAAATGACTTAAAACTATGTGGAATATGTAGTTTCTATTGTTACATTTTTACTTTTTTTTTTTACTTGTAATATTATGCACACTGTTATATGTTATTTATTTATTTACTTATCTAATTTTTATTTATTAATCACCAAATAATGAGATTATTAGTGTAAACCTATTTTTACTTATTTTATTTTCTAAAACTTTTCACAGACTCCCTTGCGGCCCCCTGGAAGTCCCCAGACCCCAGTTTGAAAACCCCTGGTAGGCTTTAAAAACAAAATCTTTACAGCTTTATGTCATGTGGAGTTTCAGTATTTCTACAATAAAATATAAATAAATAATAACAAATGTCCCCCTTCCACCCAAAGTAACAATATTTATCACGTCACTGGATTTCGGTTAAAAAAAATTTAAAAAGCTGCGCAAGAAAGAGCCGCTTCACTTCACCGCGAGAGAGAAATCGACGGCGTTTGCTTCTCAGAAACACGTTTTGTTTCAAGAAAGTGTCCTCAATTTGGACTTTATTTTGGAATAAGCACACACTTATTTGACAGTTGTTGAATTTCAAATAGTTTCTGTTTTGAATTCGCTCGCTCGAGGAGTACCGCGTGATATAGAGCGTTTTCCTCAGAGTCGGCCATCTTACTGTTGGACCAAGACCTATTTAACGGTAAGTTACAGTTAAATGTTTATAGCTAATATTTATATATTTAATGTTGTTTAAAGTAAACACTTTTACGTTGTTATATATCTACAATCCTTGCTGAATTAGCAATATAAAACTAATTTTAATTAGCGATACTAACAGTAAATACTGGAAGGCGAACACCATGTCCGAATATATTTATTACTATATGGATGGTGATATTTGGATTCTGTTATAGTGAGGTTATGATAACGTTGGTTAAGTATTATAGTGTTTCTTGCGGAATGTTCTAGATTCGAGTCTGTTGTGTAATTTGATTGACAGGAGGGGCGGAGACTGTGTTACAGTTCCAGCACTTTCTCCTTTAATGTCTTTC